CGTTAGTTTCTGGACAGTTCTGAGGTAACAATGAATGCTTTTTAACGCGTAATACTGACACCAGGCTAAAAATAGAACTTGAATGCTTGGAAGTTTTCTGTTGATCCGACAGTGGAGAAAGACCTTAGCATATGGTTCTCAGTATGGTATTAGAGTGTTTAGTCCAACCGAGGCAGGAGAACAACATATTGGTTGGATCCCTGATAAGGAGCGAGCAATTTTGGATGCTGTTGGAAAGGCATGCGACTTGCCAAACTTTCATGCCAAAATTGACAGTGCAAGTGGCAAATATATGGGAGACAAGTTTACCAAGATAACAATTTTTATAATTTTTGGGGCTTTGTGAAATAATTAAATAATCAAGTTATTTTTAATTAATTATGTGGAAAATTTATTGATAGTCTTATGCAAATCATGTCTCTTTTCTTAAATTAGAAATGTGTGTCTTTATGTGTATATTTTTGATAGGTTTGTTTTATGTTGGGCATATAACCCATGATGTTTTCTTGGCTATTTATTCACTAGCTTTGACAGTATAATATTTAACAATAACTCTTGTAGTAATTCTGTCTAAACATTTTAAGCTAAATTGGTTTCCTTGCTATTTATTCATTAGCTTTGACTGCATAATTTAACAATAACTGTTGTGGTAATTCTGTCTATTTATTTTTAGCTAAATTGGTTTGAAATCTGGATATTTTAGACTATGGTGACTTATGGGTATACAAAAGTAACCAAACTGACTATGGTGTTTATTGCAAGGGATTTTGTAAATATTTTTATGGTTTATGGAAAGACTGTTGCTAACTTTGATTTTATCACTTCAGTCAAATAAAATCCTTTTAAGTCGCCTTAAGTCGCCTTAAGTCGCCTTAAGTTGCTTTACCATTTCAACTTTGTTGATATATCCAAATTATTAAGTTGCCTTAAGTCGCCTTAAGTCGCCTAAAGTCGCAATGTTTTTTCCGCCAATTTCGCTTAAGTCGCCTTAAGTCGCCCAAAGTTACGGCGACTTAAGGCCCCAGAGTAGGCCTAAGTTCCTCATTCTCACGCCCAAGATGACCATTTTTATTGTCAACATTTGTCTCATTGTCGGTCCTCTCTTTCTGGATCTATCCTGCTTGTCTGAAAAAAGCTCTCGATTGCGGGCTGGATCCGTATCATAGAGTTTTGTAGTAAAGACCGTAAGTGCTATAGACCACTTTCATAAATGGCTGCCGGATTAATATTTTTTTGTTTAAATTTAAATTAGCCCTTCTGGCCTCGCTTGAGATAATGTATTCTTTTGAATTTTGTACTGGAGAACGAGGCCAGAAGGGCTTCTTTAAATTTAAACAAAAGAATATTAATCCGGCAGCCATTTATGAAAGTGGTCTATAGACCTGTAGTAACTGGTGAGTGAGAGATCTTCCCTCTTTGACAAAGAAAGACTGTAGCCTTCTGTCCGAACCTAAATCGTGCTTTGTTTACACATCCCTTTGCGGGTTTGAAGCAGAATATCTTTAAAGCTCTTTGTCTTTCCTTCTTGGCCCGCTCCCTTACCGTTTTTTTAAATTTTTTCTGGAACTGTCTCACTATCGGTCGGTGAATGGGCTTCTCCATAAGAGGTACTAGTCGATTGCTTTCACAACTGACACGTGAATTATGACTGGGGCCTTTCTTAGGAAGTTCTCAAAATGATCCTTCCCCATCTGTAGCTTTTGTTCCTGACTTGATGCTTTTCATTTAGCTTGAGTCGATTGCATCGTCTACAGTATGCCAGGCAAAGGAGGATGGCTAGTCATCTGTAGCCAGTCGGATAGTATTTATATTATGTCTGATGTACCGCTGTTGGCAACTCCGTTTTTTTCTTTTTGTTTGTTTTGATATGAAAGTCATGTTAAAGTTTTGAAATTCTGTGCATACCTTCTTGTTTTTCTTCCTCCATTCTTTTCTAGACTTCCACCGCTTGCACTTGGCCATCAAAGGGATATGTGTTTCGGTAGCTTGTTTGTGTGTTCCCACAATATTGAGCAGAAATAAAGGTTATTTGGAATGTTTTATGCAAAGTATGAGTCCCCTTAATGGAGATGACAATTATTTCACTGTTTTTGGTCATAAGTGCCCTCTCATCCAATCGAGATTAGTACCATGTCGAATGGAAAAATTTATCTTGCTTGTTACATAGCGATACGTTCAAAATACATAGAACAGACAACAACACAGGACAAAACGCTTGACGCATACAAAGAGTTGGAATACGTGCATCCCGTGTAGACAATAACAATTTTTCCTAACAGGATTTTGTCTCAATGTCATTCTATTTTAATACTAATCTGATCCGGTAGGGAGAAAAACACCAAAAAATTAACTAAACTAGTATCGAGATCCTTCAGAACGGTTTTTTATAAAAACACTGCTGGTGAACTATAAAGCTATACATTGACTATTAATTGCGGACAAGATTATCCGACAAAGAGGGTCACCAGCTCGCTCACCTCATGCGACAACAACATAAGCTCTTACTTAATTGCCTTTGTATATGCGTTATTAACCAAGCGTGAGGTCAAAATGGCTGGATATTGTGTTTGCAGCACAACAAACTCACGAGAGTCGTTTCTGTTTTCTTTGTTCAGATTATCTTCTGCCGCTCTTTGCATTTCCATCGCCGACATTGCCTTAGAATTACGAACGTAGTTCTAATTCAATTTTTTTCATGCGCGGGATCAATACGGGTAATCCCGAGCGGGTAAGATGGGCCCATCTTGCCCCTTGGGTAGCCAATTAGAACACAGGATTAGCTTCGTCTTGCCCACGATCGCCGCGAGCGATGTAATAATACAAGTTCTTGTACACCTTCCGCACAGTTTTTGTAATCAAAGTCTTTTCAGCAACTGACTTAATAGTCCGAGAGCTCAACGATGTTGCGTTTACACTATATCTTGCTTTCCGTTACGGCATTTGGCTTGAAATGGACAGCCACAGAATCGGGTAAACCCTGTATAATGTTCCTCGATGGTTTTCATAGTCCGCATTTTAAAGACACTTCGGCCTTTAACATTCCTGTCTCAGTAAAGGATTTGTACTGTACCTTTTTCATAAGCGACGGGAAAACTCAGAACGAAGAAAGGACCACGGTGTACTTATTTACGGGTCAAGGTAATGTTAGGATCAGTTTACTCGTAGTATCTTAGAAACTGCGACTATTTTGACCGAACTTATAGTCCAAAGCAATTACTCAGCGGAGGATATTACAGCTTTACTGTATACTCGTCATGGCTAATCGTTCAGAAGAGGTCCAATTTTCGTTCTCTATCAACATTGAACGCTCAAGTTAGCGCCTCAATGTCTTTAGTCTGGCCTAGTCACTATTTTGTTCTCTAGTAAGCTAACTGCATCAGATGAACTAAACAAAAGGGGCTGAAGAGTAGGGGAAACGACAGAACTTGCTTTCGCGGTTTCCTGTATAGTTTGCATTTTATGCTGTTGTATTAAAAGATGTTAGCCTTTTTCATGACAACCGTAGAAATAGAGATTTGTAACAACACCAAAGCGGCGTTATTCGTAGGTAGTGGGCGCAAGGCTTTCTGTTTATGCTTTCTTGTGTGCAAAATATACAGCAATTCGCCGAAATTGGTGAGAAATGGCAGGCGCAGAAAAGTGGAACCAGTCTATTCACCAGTGCCTGTCTTATTCATGTATCCATTTATGCGTATTTATTCTAGTCATTACTTGGAGCGTTATTTATTGTAGCCAAATCATAAACTGGTCCGATGCCATACGATTAGAATTGCTTGTACGCCATTACAATACTGATCGCTTAAGGGATCATGTATTTTTTGTCGTATCTAGTAAAGGGCATTCGATATAATCTACGCTCGGAAAAGCTGCAAGACAAAAGTAAAAAAGATAAAAGTTCATTTCCCGTTCCTGTCTGGATCGGCAAATGGTTCCTAACTTCTTATCAAATAAGATATCAACGCTGATCGAAGCTTCTTTCGTCAAAACATTTTACTGTCCACCCTTAAATACAGTCTTCAAATATGCTAATAGATAAACGGTTGATAAATGAATAGAAAGATATATCGCTATAAACGAAAAAATGAAAGATTGAGGGCAGCGAAAAATAAGAAATAAGAAATCAGAACAATAAGGTTAACCGCCATTAAGATATTTTCTTTGTTCTTTCAGCACCTGAATCGCTTCATTGTTGACTTAATTGATTCAAGACTGTTACATTGCTTATCTTAAATTTCAAAATAAGCGGCCAACGATTACCCAGCTATTACCCAATAAAAACTATCAAATAACATTTGGAATAACATGATATGGAAATCTTCCTTTGCCTCAAAAAGTGTTTGTAGGTTTTATGTGTTATATAACCGTGAGTTCAAGTCGTTGGATTATAAAATTGATGTTTGTGTTCAATTTCGAAAAGACACTAGAGCGTTTTTCTTGTGTTGTTGTTGTTGGAATGAATTACGAATGCTGTTGCTGTTATTGCTTTTTTTTTTCTGTGTCGGCCCGTTCCAGAATTTTATTTGAATGTAATCATCATCGTTTTATGTGTTTTGCGTGTGCGGAAAGTTTGCTTGTGCGATTCACATTGTTGTGGGATTTGCTGTGAAAGGTGGTTCACCTTTCAATTATGCTTTTCTTTCTACTTTGACTGGTGCATTGTTCGTTGCGCTGTTCCATTTGATTTATCACTGTTGTTGATTTTTGAGCCTTTTACAGTAGAGTATCGGTGCCTTTTGCTTAAGAGTGATGAATTCAGCTATTTCCTCCAAACGGTCCGCACAAACTTTTCTGACTCGGAAGGAACGATTTGATAGGGCTATTTTTATCGTCTAGGAACTAAGCAGAGAGTCTCAGAACTACCTTCAAAGCATTGCGTAAAAATAAAATTGAATGCATGTATTTCTTTCGCAGTTACTCCAATAATCAACGGAGTTGTCTTCAATGTAAACTTGTCCAGTATTCGGATCACTGATCTTACCTCGTCAGCAGAAATAAGAGTAATGGTTAAACATTATGACTCCCAGCCATCCTCAGTCTCCAGTGAAAACCTTGTGTTGTATAATCTGTATACCAAGGAGTCTGTTCGGGCCGTTAAAATGCGAAGGAGAGGTGATATGTCATGGGCCTTACCCGTTCTCGCTTTGGTGAAAAGGTGGATGCGTTCCCCGCTTGTTAACCGTGGTTCATATTTCAGGCTGCAGCCATTTAATGTGGAGCACTTGGTGTATCGCAAAGATACACCATTACTGGTGGTACAAACACAGGCCAAACTTCCGGAGATTGATTCAATGTCAATTGGGAATAGGTAAATCAATGTATGAATGGCTATATCTGAGATTGCCACACTCATAAGCAGCACCACTTCAACACTGACATCCAAAACTACGACACAACGATGAGACAACATCACTGAACAACAATAACAACTTCTATACTTTTATTTGTTATTCGACATCTCATACTCATCATATAGCGTCTACACTGATTATACGTATTTAAGACAGGCAGAGTCACTTACTGCTTTTAAACGTGGCCTGTCAAACTATGAATATATGAAAATCGTATATAAGATTTTCATGTATTTACAATCATTAATACATCACCTCACGGGTTTATTATATAAGCTAACATAATGACCAGCTCCCAGTTGGCTATTAGCTCAGTTAGTAGAGCACTACATCGGTATCGCAGTGGTCATGGGTTTAAATCCAGCACAAGACTGATTTTTTTTTTCAGGCCTTATTTTCACAACTGCACAAGTAGTATTCATTACCGCAAAGGTCGCTTTGAGATTCATTTCTCAACCCCCATTTCACCTATATGATTTTCATATAATCACGGTCAAAGATAACTACTATGCGTATTATGCATCATCCTCGCAGTAGATAGCGCTATTTAAGCAATAGCGAAAATCAGACCTGAAAAAAAAAATCAGTTCTGTACGGGATTCGAACCACTGACCTCTGCGATACTAGTGCAGCGCTCTACCAATTGAGCTAACAAGCCAACTGGGAGCAGGCCGTTAAGTTGATTCGTAATAAACCCGTGAAAGTGATAAATCAGATACAATGAAATATATGAAGTTCATATATTTTGAACTGCGGTATTAGATACGTATGATGCACGATCCTCGCAGTAGATAGCGCTATTTAAGCAATAGCGAAAATCAGACCTGAAAAAAATCAGGCCTGTACGGGATTCGAACCACTGACCTCTGCGATACTAGTGCAGCGCTCTACCAATTGAGCTAACAAGCCAACTGGGAGCAGGCCGTTAAGTTGATTCGTAATAAACCCGTGAAAGTGATAAATCAGATACAATGAAATATATGAAGTTCATATATTTTGAACTGCGGTATTAGATACGTATGATGCACGATCCTCGCAGTAGATAGCGCTATTTAAGCAATAGCGAAAATCAGACCTGAAAAAAATCAGGCCTGTACGGGATTCGAACCACTGACCTCTGCGATACTAGTGCAGCGCTCTACCAATTGAGCTAACAAGCCAACTGGGAGCAGGCCGTTAAGTTGATTCGTAATAAACCCGTGAAAGTGATAAATCAGATACAATGAAATATATGAAGTTCATATATTTTGAACTGCGGTATTAGATACGTATGATGCACGATCCTCGCAGTAGATAGCGCTATTTAAGCAATAGCGAAAATCAGACCTGAAAAAAATCAGGCCTGTACGGGATTCGAACCACTGACCTCCNGTATCTAATACCGCAGTTCAAAATATATGAACTTCATATATTTCATTGTATCTGATTTATCACTTTCACGGGTTTATTACGAATCAACTTAACGGCCTGCTCCCAGTTGGCTTGTTAGCTCAATTGGTAGAGCGCTGCACTAGTATCGCAGAGGTCAGTGGTTCGAATCCCGTACAGGCCTGATTTTTTTCAGGTCTGATTTTCGCTATTGCTTAAATAGCGCTATCTACTGCGAGGATCGTGCATCATACGTATCTAATACCGCAGTTCAAAATATATGAACTTCATATATTTCATTGTATCTGATTTATCACTTTCACGGGTTTATTACGAATCAACTTAACGGCCTGCTCCCAGTTGGCTTGTTAGCTCAATTGGTAGAGCGCTGCACTAGTATCGCAGAGGTCAGTGGTTCGAATCCCGTACAGGCCTGATTTTTTTCAGGTCTGATTTTCGCTATTGCTTAAATAGCGCTATCTACTGCGAGGATCGTGCATCATACGTATCTAATACCGCAGTTCAAAATATATGAACTTCATATATTTCATTGTATCTGATTTATCACTTTCACGGGTTTATTACGAATCAACTTAACGGCCTGCTCCCAGTTGGCTTGTTAGCTCAATTGGTAGAGCGCTGCACTAGTATCGCAGAGGTCAGTGGTTCGAATCCCGTACAGGCCTGATTTTTTTCAGGTCTGATTTTCGCTATTGCTTAAATAGCGCTATCTACTGCGAGGATCGTGCATCATACGTATCTAATACCGCAGTTCAAAATATATGAACTTCATATATTTCATTGTATCTGATTTATCACTTTCACGGGTTTATTACGAATCAACTTAACGGCCTGCTCCCAGTTGGCTTGTTAGCTCAATTGGTAGAGCGCTGCACTAGTATCGCAGAGGTCAGTGGTTCGAATCCCGTACAGGCCTGATTTTTTTCAGGTCTGATTTTCGCTATTGCTTAAATAGCGCTATCTACTGCGAGGATCGTGCATCATACGTATCTAATACCGCAGTTCAAAATATATGAACTTCATATATTTCATTGTATCTGATTTATCACTTTCACGGGTTTATTACGAATCAACTTAACGGCCTGCTCCCAGTTGGCTTGTTAGCTCAATTGGTAGAGCGCTGCACTAGTATCGCAGAGGTCAGTGGTTCGAATCCCGTACAGGCCTGATTTTTTTCAGGTCTGATTTTCGCTATTGCTTAAATAGCGCTATCTACTGCGAGGATCGTGCATCATACGTATCTAATACCGCAGTTCAAAATATATGAACTTCATATATTTCATTGTATCTGATTTATCACTTTCACGGGTTTATTACGAATCAACTTAACGGCCTGCTCCCAGTTGGCTTGTTAGCTCAATTGGTAGAGCGCTGCACTAGTATCGCAGAGGTCAGTGGTTCGAATCCCGTACAGGCCTGATTTTTTTCAGGTCTGATTTTCGCTATTGCTTAAATAGCGCTATCTACTGCGAGGATCGTGCATCATACGTATCTAATACCGCAGTTCAAAATATATGAAGTTCATATATTTCATTGTATCTGATAACTACTATGACTAATATTATCAAGGTTTGATAAGGCCCAGTTCAGACGCCGTAGTTCAGCCGAGCCGAATCGAATTCAACTTTAGGCCGACCTAAATTAGTTAATCCTGGCTGAATTGATTCAGACGTCGAACTTATTTCGGCCGAAATTAATTAACTGAAGAAAGTTTGTGGCCGGGGCCGGCGCAGTTTAAAGTAACAAATTTGATAAATGTTATAAAGAACGAAAGTTGTTTAAATGGCATGGTCGTTGTAAGGAAGTTTTAAGTATTTTATTTGGTCACTTCTCTAAAGAGGTACCTAAATAAAGTCCGGCAGTTGATCAGTAAGTGTTTCGACGCGACCAAACATACTTGCTTGAAATGTGAAATTCCAATATGCAGTAAATGTTCAATTTTTGAAGAAAACAAAGATTACCATGCTGTCGCTTTTTGCGAGCGATACACAAAAGAGGCGGGAAAGGACGTTGCTGACGCAGAGGACAACCACATCAACATTTTTCCCCCCAGTTTTCTACTTTAAAGCCTTTCATGACACTTTTCGACAATTTTTATTAAATGTTGACGGTAAGGATAGGAAGAGTAACATACTTCAACGTTATTTTCTATGATCTATATCAATGGTACAGGACATTGGCTGGAGTCAAGCAAAAGTCCAGACATGCTCGCGAAATTCGCGACAAGGGACCTTGTTCTGTACGTCCTATGCGGATTCTAATGGGCAGGAACGTTCTCGGGAAAGGCGTCATTCTTCCTAAGTTTTATGACGCCTACAGGTGTGGTGGAGACTGCAAATTTCCACTAAGCAATAAAGTAAGTTTACCAGCTCAGTATGATTTCCTCAGTTTGTGTCCATTGCTAAATCCCATCCCATCCAATTTATTTATTTTTATCTAATGGATCAAAATCTTTAATTTATGGTAAGAGACTAAACTAAAATCTCTTCTTCCTTTTTTCACCAATTAATAGTTTGTTAGGTAACTCAGATTTCTGACCTGGGTAGTTTTTACCAGAAAACCTAGTTTTGCAGATAATATTAAAGACAGCATTTTCGCGTTTGAAAAGTCTTGCATGTTGTTAGTACAGTGGAATCCCGAATTCTCGAACCCTCGGTTTCTCGAACCTCCCGATATCTCGAACCAAACCTTGTTTCCCTTGGATTTGCTCCACTTGTAATTTCACCCCCGATTTCTCGAGCTCCCGATTTCTCGAACCAATTTACGTTTCCCCTGGAGGTTCGGGAAATCGGGATTCCACTGTACATGATCCGATTTACGAAAGGCTCTGTGCCGTTTGTGTGAGCCTAAGTAGCTGTTAAAGAAAAGAGAAAGGACCAAGGCTAGGGATCTTGATACTAGCCTAAATCAGTTTTAGGAATATAATTTGGTGAATAGAATGAGAACTCAGACTCAGGTCTGACAAGTGTGTGGCAGGTCTGCAGCGTCAGGCAAGTGATGAACAAACCAACAGTTTTCTGAGTTTCTAACATCGCTCTTAACTTCCTATTTCTCTCCTTTTTTCCGGTTGAGAAGTTGCATCATTGTATAAGCTATTTGAAAAGGGACAAGAGAGCGCCTGTTATCTTAAAGACTCTTGGCAAGGCAAAAAGCGTATCACTCCCGTGACAATGGACGTAAAGGGCGATGAAATAACATAAGCGTATCTGTGTACTCCAACAAGATTAGTAAGGGGCCTACCCATCTCGGAGTTCTCGTTTAAATTATTTTTTCTTAAATTCAACTCCAGATTCTATTTTGCCATTCGATCTGAGTTGCTAATGTGATGAGTTAAAGTATTGAAACTTGCACTCCGTAGCGAATGACGTAAATACATGGCTTGTTAGTTACTACCTAAAGTAAGAAACCGTATGATGTAGATAATTTTCCCTCTACTGAACTGTTCCTTCAGCAGCTGCTCGAAGCTTGGTGAGCTGGGATTCACTTACTTCATGTTCTTAGGGTCTGATTTGTATCCCCGCAATACGATGTTCTTCTTGGTCTAAAGGTCAAACTGCGTCTGGTCGACTCAGAGCCCGAATGAGGATTAGTTTTGGGTACTACAACGGTTCCTCTGGGGCTTATCTATTAAATCTCTGCGATAAGAGATTTTTTACCTTGATCTCGCTACTGAATAAGCATGGTTTCACTTCAAAGTTATTCAGTTGAATTACGTGAAGAAATGATTTCTGTTATGACTGCCCTACGGGTGATGACCATAGTCTTATCGTTTCATGGCAACTGAATTTTTTCCTTTAGCAGATCTGTTCAAAGGGAAAAGGTACACTGACGAGGTCAACTCTGCCTTAAGCAATAAAAGGCAGTCTATGATTACATGTGCCTACTGTTGTGTAATTATAGAGTATTCCAGTATAAAAGCAATGTGGTGTAAAATGCAGAGGGGTTGTCGATGCCAAAATGGAGATAAAACGAGGACTCGGTTAAAACAGAGTTTGTACACTTGTCAATTGACAGACCGGGGGCAGGGCAGGAAATTAATTGAATAGGTAAATATATTAAAAGACATTTACCTATTCAATTAATGCACATTTAAAAATGTGCTTCAAATCTATTTTTGTACAAAAATTTCGTATGATCTGCGCACCTAGTGCAGTGGATACACCTATTTCTCTCGGGTGCGAGGGGACCATGAAGGATCGAGCCCTGGCCATGTCAACTTTTTCTTTTATTTTCTTTTCCTTTTCCTTTTTTCCCCTCTCAATTCACATTCTTCTTCAAAGGATTTGTCAGATCTGTTCAGAGGGAAACACACATGTGAGAATGTTTGGCGACCTACCCGTTCTACGTTTAATTCGATAACAAGTCGAAATTCAGAGTTGAGACCCTGAACAAACATCGAACTAAACCCGACAAAACTAGAAATGAATTCGAAGAAAACCGATCAGATTCGTTCAACGATCGCCCGGCAGTCTGAGCTAAACCATATTAAACAAGTCGAAACGTGTCACAAGAGACGTAACGAGAGTCTCATGATGGTCCGCCATTCTGAAAATCATGAGGGGTTTGGGAGAAGGTTTACAAACTTACACGACACTATAACATAGTTCCTACGGCCCTAAAAGATGCGATGCGGTCCAATCATCGTGAATATCAAAAGACTACTAAAGTCGATTTATAATCAGGCGTTACTATCATATCCCACTTCTTTTGATGCATACGGGCTATTTTTAATTTTGACTCGAAGTCTATCGGCTCTCCTCTTAATTGTGGGAAATTGTCGTAAATGCTGCTAGAAACCCTGTTAAAAGTGAAATCGGACGTCTAAGCAAGCAGATATTCGAGAACATCAACACTACTGTCAGGCGAAAAACTGGACTTAATCAATGGAAAACTCCTCCTCTGTGATCAACTGGTTCTCCGATATCCAACACAAAAACCAACACACCTTTGCTGTCTTCGACATTGAAAACCTTTACCCATCTATCACCGAGAAGCTACTATCAGACTCTATCAACTTTGCCAAACAATATACTACTATATCGGATCGAGACATTGACATTATTATGCATTCAAAAAAATCTCTACTTTTTAACAATGGTACGGCCTGGATCAAAAAAGACAACAGCTCCTTTGAAGTCACCATGTGTAGCTACGATGGCAAGGAAGTTTTTGAATTAGTCGGTCTATTTGTTCTCAGCGGTTTATGTAGCACCTACGGAAAAGAATGTATCGGACTGTATAGAGACGACGGACTTGCCGTATTCAGAAATATCTCCGGACCACAAGCCGAAAGAAGTAGGAAAGACATCACTAGACATTTCAAGAACAACGGACCCAGCATCCCCATACAGACCAACTTAAAAATCGTCAAATACCTCGATGTCACTTTTAATCTCAACAATGGAACGTACTGTCCTTACAGAAAACCTAACAACCAGCCGCTATTCATCAACACAAAGTCAAACCACCCTCCCAACATAATCAAGCAACTACCTAACTCCATCCAGTCAACCGTAGAATATCGGACAACTTCTACAACGAAGACGAATTCAACAAAGCTAAGACGCTACACGACACTGCCCTCAAATCCAGCGGATATACGGAAACCCTAACCTACAACAAGCACAGATGGACCACCCGACCCAGAAGAACCCGACAAAGAAACATTATCTGGTACAACACCACTTTCAACATGAACGTACAAACAAACATTGGCAGAACATTTCTTAGTCTGGTATCAAAGCATTTTCCAAAGCATCACAAATACCATAGCCTATTCAACAAGAACGACGTAAAGGTCAGTTACAGTTGTATGGAGAACATAGGATCAATCATTAACAAACATAATAAGAAAGTACTGTCTAACAACAAAAACCACAACAACAACGAAAGCCTTTGTAACTGCAGATCTAAAGAACAATGCCTGCTCAACAACAATTGTCTGTCTTCCAGCATTATCTATAACGCACAAGTCACCACAGACAACAAAGAACTACATTGGATTGACTGAAGGAACTTTTAAACAAAGATTTAACCAACACAAGGTCACATTCCGACACAAAAAATACACTAACAGCACTGAACTATCTAAACACATCTGGAAACTGAAAGACAACTCTGTAAACTTCAGCATAAAATGGTCCATTATTGCAAGAGGTAGGCCCTACAACAACACAACGAAAAGATGCAGTACAGTATGAACCTCTCCAAGTTTGATACAATAGCATGCTTTTTTAGTCTCAATATAGCCGATCAGTATCGCATAGAATCGCATCGTTGAATACAATCTCGCATTCTGATTGGTTAAGGAAGCGAGGTATTTAGCGTGGAATTACGAGTTGAAAACGAGGCTACGTGATATTGTTTCGCATCTACGTAAACATAACAACTATCGTTACAAAAGTTTGGTTTCTAAGTCAATTTAAAATGTTTTCAAAACTATTGTCACCTTTTAAAGAGCCAAAAACAAAAACTGCGTTTTTCAAAGTGAGCCTGAGGTTCTTCCTTGTTTTAAACTGAACAATTAATTCTTGGAGAGGCATGAACAACCTCTTTCGCTAGCGACAACGCGAAAGCGAGAAAATCCTGTGAACACGACCCACAAAAAACAATCTCCGAGCTAACAGGTCAGGTCAACCCGGGTTCAATACCCACCTACAGCCATACTCTTTTAGAAAAACAACGAAGGATGTCACGCAAGTTGGCTGGGTTTGCAGTCGTACCACTACGACTGTCACAGCTGCCAACGCCAGCGACGGTCCACGCACTGAAGCCGTTTGCGAGAAATTTATGTCAACAGCCTTGCATTTCCATCAGTAGTTGGCAATAACACAACACTGAGCAATGAATAACGGCAGTGATGATCTAACAGCAAGAGTTCTAGGTGAACTGTTCACAAATGTATCGTTCAACAACTCTCCAGTGAATATTTCCCTCAACTTCCAGTCGAATGCTTATCCCAACGACTCAGCTAAAGGTAGTTGTCTGTAGTGAATTTCTACAACTGAATAAAAAGATCAAATTCCTTGGACTTTGCATGAAACACTTCTATGTTTTTAAAGGAATAAGATATCTATCAATACACGTATTTACACTTCAAGGTACTTACCTTATATTAATAGCGATGTTAAACTTTCAGCGCTTTCGCTTGCACACTTCATTTCTTTCCACGGTTTTGCCACCAAAGAGACAAAAGGTGTAAATTATTTTTCTTCTCGAGCAAATTCAGTGGAAACTTGAAAAAAAGATGTTAATAATAAACGGCTTGTAAATTCTTTGAAATACCGCCATTATCCTTAAATAGTGTGAAGCTTGCTTAAAAATTTTGAAAACGAATGTAAAAACAAGGTTCAGATAAAAGGTGTCGAAGGTTCTAACGTGGACCCTGCTTCCTATTCGCTAACGCAATGACAGTTCTGACAGTTGACTTAGCTCGCCAGAGTCTAGACAGGTCTTACTTTTCAAGACCTGGCCATTAGCACCATATTTCTTGCCCCTTTGTTGGGCGTGTGGCTTCTCCCTATTATCCTTTTCGTCTTTAATGTAGATCTTTAAACTAAGTTTTATCATCTGCTCGGAGGGACACTTGGAACTCACTAATTAGTGTGCTGTGAATGCAAAGAAGTGGAACTGGAAGAAAAAATTGTCCGTGTGCGCGATTCCCCATGATTTACAAAATAGATAGATAGCTTTATTAGG